GGGGGATGGATATGGTGCGAAAGATGTGGAGGCCCTAGCGACCTGCAGGACCGCCACAGCCGCATTGTTGCAGGAGTGGCGAGAAAGCGCTGCACGCCATGCCAGCCACCCATGAAGGGAGGCCAGTGGGTCATCAACCGCATCCGCAGCGGAAGAACCGCAATGAGCAAGAAGAAGAAGAAGGACCACGCCCCAGACGAGCAGCTGCACGAAGAGGAACAGAACACGGCAGACGTCGCCCACTTCCAGGGGCTGGGACCAAGCAGCAGCCAGGTGATCGAACTGGAGGAAGAAGTCGCGCAGCCACCCAAGAAGACAGTGCTGACCGCCATGGAGGTACCACATCCGCAGTCGGCCAGCGAAACCGCTCCAGACTAGTCGACCACCTGGAGGGCGAAGCGGAGCAATGGATGGACATGGTAGGCAACAGGGTGTGGGACGACTACCAGGATTGGCTGGAATGGTGCATCCCAAATGTAAAAGGAATCACTATGTGCACACGGCACCAGACGAGTCTGGAGGTGGCAGGCCAAGGTCAAGAGCATCACTGACGGCTGAATGACGTCTGCGAGGAGGTGTGGAGAAGCACGCGGTGAAGCAGGCGAAGGCGGATGACAAACACGCAAAACCTCCCACCTAGCATCTGGCAGCACGTAGCGGCCGCGCACATGCAAGCCCTCCAGCGGCGCAGAGACGGCATCCAGAACAGCAACCGACCTAGCGCCTAGCAGTACGAGGAGGCCCCTCCCAGTCACTGCGGATCCTGGACGCCCGAGAGCCTCGCGCCAATCAGCGCCGACATCGAGACCGATGACGGCGAGGAGGAGCCGCCTGAAGTGGGAGAAGGGCACAGAGGAGACGAACGTCGAAAGGGGCCAACAGATGGGACGAACTTCATCCGGCAGGCGGCGAGGGCCAAGTTCCCAAGGCACCTGGCAGGATCCTCACGCCTAGATCTCACGACATGCGCGAGGGAAGCCAAACAAGAATGAGAGCTTCGACCGCCAGCAACGCCACACCAGGGAGACGAGAACCAGCGCATGGAGGCAGAGGAGGCATGGCTGGCGAGGCCACAGGTGGAGAGGCACGTCCACACCACGGCAGGATGGTGGGTGCACGAACGCGGCGCAGTCTGCTGGCGCAGCTGGCAAGCCGCCTGCGTGCCCTACGTCCTCGTGGCCTTGCGGACGCCAGCATGCCAACCCCTGTTCCACGAGCCCGCAGGCCAGGGCAGGCCTGCAGCGTCAAAGACGGAGCAGCAGAGGAGATATGCCGCCTCGCCTGGCTCAACGGCTGCAGTGATAGGCGGCACTGAAGAGCCCAGGGAGTGGAGGAGGCCACGCGCCAGCGACCGAAGGCAGAAACGTCCTGGGCGGCACCTCGTCGAGGTCAGCAGCCCAGGCCAGGCCTACGACGAGGGCTGGGACTGGAGGTTTGGGGCAGCCCTCGGTAGTTGCGCCACACAGAGCCCGAAGCGATTTAGCGGGAGGGATTACTTCCACTGGGGTGGCAGTCGACGCGTGCAGAGGCTGCCCGAGCGGGCACCGCTCGGCGGATCCGCGGAGCTCTGAGGGACTGGCGGTCAGAGAGCTCAGCCAGGCATCAGCATGCAACCCCGGGATCGTCTTTCAAGTTGATCAGGTTACGAGCTCTGGCGTGAGGCCCCCCTCGGCAGCGAGCGGGTGGCCGCCCCCACGCGCGGTCAGACGCGCAGGACCTCACGCTCTGAAGGCCCGCAGCTGCGCCTGCTGGGCGGGGCAGAGTCCGAGGAGTCGCCTCGACAGGCGAGAGGCGTGCCGCGGGGCGGTCCGCCCAGAGGCGCGCGGGGCCCGCTCTGTGCGCCCCCCCGAGCGGCTCACACCCTCGGTGCGGCCCCAGCATGGTTGTTAAACTCGATCCTCCTCCTCCTCCTCCTCCTCCTCCTCCTCCTCCTCCTCCTCCTCCTCCTCTTCTTATCCCCCCCTCCCCCGGCGGCTGGCACGAAGGGGCCGATGGTCAGTGGGCGGCCTTCTAGATGGGGCGCGGGGCAGTCTCTGGCTTCGGTGGCACAGACGACGGTTCGAGGTTTTCAAACATTCGGGCTCGGTGTTCGAGGTGCGAGGCTTTCGGACGTTGTCGTCGGTGCTCGGCGGTTTTCCAACCTCGGGATGCGCTCCAGCGGCTGCGCCTCGCCGAGAGCGTCCCGGGGGTGCCCAGACCGTCCCGAACGGCCACCGGAGTGCCGAGTTACGACGGGGAAACCACCAGGCGTCCGAGAAGGGGCGTCCGAGGACAGGACAACTCAGGGCCAACCTATCGCGAAGGCATTACGGCTGGCGCCGCCGGCCCTAAAGGACGTCGACGACGACGACGACGATGATGGCGGCGTCGTCGTCGTCGTCGTCGTGGGGAGACGCCCCGCAGTTCATAGAGGAACAAAATTACATAAGCGTAAGCTTTCGGAGCTCCGCGCGGATTTCTTGGATCTGCCCTGGGGCCCCCCCTGGCGGCGCCTCTGGCGCCGCCCCTGGCGCGCTCCGCGCGCCAGGGAGGGGGGTCCAGCGCCGATCCCAAAAAACCAGGCGGAACTTCAAAAGTCTATGTTTGTGCCGCTTTCCCGTCAACGAAACTCATGGGAGCCTCCGATGCCATCTTGTTGATTCTTGCAAGTCGACGCTAATCCACCCTCATCGGCGCTAAATCGGCGCTTCATCGGCGCGATCTCATCGACTACCAGACGCTATCCAGCGGTAGTGTAGCCCAAAGACGAAATTACGAGGGTATCCGCCACCGTGCCTCAGACAGCCCAACACAACTTACTTCCAAGATGGCCCAAGATAGCCCAAGCTAAATCTATCTGATTTCAGATGCTCCCAAAAGCCCCAAGGCCGCTCCAAGACGGCTCCAAGTTGCCACGGAACCTTCCCCATGAGGCCGCCAAGAGGCCAACATCCTTCAAATACCTACGGACAATGAGTGAATTGTGCGTTCTCGCCTTTTTGCTTTCGATGGCCTTCCGAGGCCTCAAGGTGGCTCCAAAAGAGCCCAAGAGGGCCTCAAGAGAGACCCAAGAGAGCCCCAAGAGCGCCCAAGAGCGCCCCAAGAGCGCTCCAAGAGGGGCCAAAGAGGAGATTTTGGGGGCTTCCGAGGGGGGAGGCTAAGTAAGGAACCACCCTTCTTTGCTCGAGCTCGTCCAAGATGGCTTCAAGAGGGCTTCTGAGGCTTCTAAGATAGCTCGAAGAGGCTCTCGAAAGGCCCCCAAGAAAGTCCCAAGAGGCGCCCACGAGGCCTCCAAGAGGCTCCCAAGAGACCCCAAAGAGGCCCCAAGAGGCTCCCGAGGCACCCAAAACGCTCCAACAGGCCCCCGGGACCGCCAAGAGGCCTTGTAGACGCTCCAAGATGACCTGAGGGCCCCAAGAGAAGCCCAAGAAAGTCCCACAGGACGGCGCCACGAGCGCCCAAGAGTGTCCCAAGAGTGCTCCATGAGGGACCCTTCCTCTGTGTGTGCTGCCCACGTCCCTGATCGAGGCAACTTCTCTGGACATCGTCTCTGGATGGGCTGGTGGGGTTACGCGAAGCGTCAATTGCAAGACCTTCACGGATTGAGGGCGGGTGGTTTTCAAAATGTGGCTCTCGCCGTAGCGCCGTGCACATTCGTTCTAATTACGTACAGGATCTTCACGGATAGAGGGCGGGTGGTCTTCAACATGTGGCTCTCGCCTTTGCGCCGCGCGCATTTTTTAACATTCGCAAAAGCTTCACGGACTGAGGGCGGGTGGTTTTGAACATGTGGCTGTCGCCTTAGCGCCGCGCACATTTTCAAACATTTGCGAACATTTAACGGATTGAGGGCGGGTGGTTTTCAACATGTGGCTCTCGCCTTAGCGCCGCGCGCGTTCCTTTTTCAAAAGAATTTGCAAGAGCTTTTAAGAAACGGCTCTCGTTTTAGCGACGCGCACATTCGTTACTAAACAAATGCAAGAGCTTCACGGATTGAGGGCGGTTCCTTTCCGAAGTGTGGCTCTCGCTTTAGCGCTGCGCACATTCGTTCTAAGCATTTGCTAGAAGTTCACTGGTTCTCATGTCTAACGTGCTTGCGTTTTGGAGCGATTCAGGGCTGTCAGGGCGCAACAAGTACGTTGATTCGTGGCGTTGAAGTCCTAACAGCGGTGTTCTGGCAGGATTCACGATCGCCAAAACGTAACAGTCAGGTTAACTCGTGATGTTGAAGTCCTGAGAGTGGTGTTTTGGCACGTTTCAGAAATGTTCACACGGTTGTCCTCCATCGGTGCAATTCCCTCACTGGAAATTCGCCGAGCGCGTTCCACTACTCGCAGATTGCCTACTCGCAAACGTCAGAAAAAAACATACCTCTGCCTTGGTGTAATTTATCGTGCATTCCCTGCGGCAGATCCAGGTCATTTGCGAGTAGCGACTTTGCGAGTAGTGGAACGCGCTTGTCGAGAAATGTCCCCTTGTATGGGGCCTGTGAGGAAGGGTCTTGGAGGGAGGTGTATTTCAACATCGTTGATGAGTCTTGGGGTTGCACGTGTCCTTCTCCTCCTCCACATCCTCCTCCTCCTCCTTTATCCTCCCTCTCCTCATCCTCCTCTTCCTTCCTCCACGTGCTCCTCGAAGGGACAACGGCTGGGGGAACGCATGGTCCAGTAGCGTGCCCAAACTTTGCCCAAACATTTGCCCACATGGGCGTATCCTAAAGGAAGGGGGCGGCGGTGATTCGCCGCAGGCGCCTTCGATACACGGCTCCCATGACATGCTAGCGAACCTGGTCCTTAGTGTCGTTGTTGTCGTCGTCGTGATCGTCGTCGTCATCGTCGTCGTCGTCGTCCATCTCCATCTCCATCTCCATCTCCATCGTTGTCGTCGCTGTGGTGGTGGTGGCCGTCGTCGTCGTCGTCTTCGTTGTTGTCGTCGTCATCGTCGTCGTCGCGTTCGTCGTCGTATTCGTCGTATTCGTCGTCGTCGTCGTACGACACGGCTCCAATGATTTGCTATCGAACCTTGGTGCCGAAGGGTATCTCGCACTCGCAATCCTGCAAGCGCACGGACACCTCTGGCGCCGGCTTCTCGCCGCTCGGCCGATTCGCCGGCATGACCTTCTCGAGCACCTGCTTCAGGCTCTTGAGGGCAGCCACAGTAGGCCGCCGAACCTTCCACCCGCGGATCCAAGCGGCAACCTTGGGACGGGGGGGTCGTGCTCGTCGCCTCAGTCCTCTGGGGTGGCCTCCACGGGATCTGAGATCGGTCGCCTTCCCTCTTGTTCGGGGAGCAAGCCTTCTCAGGAAGCGGCGGGGCCTCTCAAAAGCCCTTTGGCTTTGTGAAACGTTTCCTGTGTCTTCGGGGAAGGCTTAGAAACCTTACCAGAAGACCCGCCTTCTCAGAAGGCCCGCCCCCTCTCGGACGCCTGCTCGTTTTTCGGTCATAACTCGGTTCTCCGGTGGCCGTTCGGGACGATCCGAGCACCCCCGAACGCCCTCGGCGAGGCGCAGCTGCTGGAGCGCATCCCGAGACTTTAAAACCGCCGAGAAGCGGCGCCCGGAAACCTCGAAACTCGAACCCGAAACTCCGAGGCCCGTCCCCTCGGAGTTCCCGCCCCCCCAGGGCGCGCCGCCGATGTGTTCGCCCCACCCTCCTGCATCGCCCTGGGGTGCGTTTTGACCTGGATTTCGAAGCGAATCTAGCCGTGGTGGCGAGGGAAGCGTAGCGGTATCGACATCTCTTCCTCATCTTACCTATAGTTCCTCCTCCTCCTCCTCCTCCTCCTCCTCCTCCTCCTCCTCCTGAAACCTCCTCCTCCTCCTCCTCCTCCTCCTCCTCCTCCTCCTTCTCTTCCTCCTCCTCCTCCTCTCCTCTCCTCTCCCCCTCCTCCTCCTCCTCCTCCTCCTCCTCCTCCCCTCCTCCCCCCTCCTCCTCCTCCTCCTCCTCCTCCTCCTTCTCCTCCTCCTCTCCCCCTCCTCCTCCTCCTCCTCCTCCTCCTCCTCCTCCTCCTCCTCCTCCTCCTCCTCCTCCTCCTCCTCCTTCTCCTCCTCGATCCTCAATCCTCCTCCCGTCTCTGGAACCTGCTGCGCCCCGTCGGACGCCTCCTCGAGGCGCCCCTGCAGCGCCGGTGCCCGCGCCTCCGCCCCCGAGGCCGGCGGCGCCGAGTGCCCCAGGCGCGTGGCCGCCGGCCTGCCGCCGTTGTTCTCGTGCAGGGAGGCCGCAAGCTGCTGCGCCGAACCCTCCTGCGGGGGAAAGGAGCAGGGCGCCGCAGGGGCGCCTCCTCCTTCTTTTTTCCACTTACGCCTCCTCCTCTTCCTCCTCATCCTCACCCTTCTCCTACCCCCTGCTCCCCCTCCTCCTCCTTCTTCTCCTCCTCCACATCTTCCTCCTCCTCCTCGTCCTCCCCGTCAGCACATCATCATCATCATCATATCATCATCATCATCATCATCATCATCATCATCATCATCATCATCATCATCATCAGCATCAGCATCAGCATCAGCATCAGCATCAGCATCATTATCATCATCATCAACAACATCATGATCATCAGCAGCATCACCATCATCATCATCATCATCATCATCATCATCATCATCATCACCATCATCATCAGCATCATCATCACCATCACCATCATCATCACCATCATCATCGGCAGCATCATCATCAGCATCATCACCACCACCTCCATCACCATCACCATCACCATCACCATCACCATCACCATCACCAACATCATCGTGACCATCACGATCACCATCACCGTCGCAGTCACTGTCATCGTCATCCTCGTCATCACCATCAGCATCATCTTCATCATCTTCACCATGGTTCCTCGGGCCCCTACTGCCTGGCTGGAGTCGCTCTCCAGTCAACGGTGGCCCTCACACCCGCACGGCGGGGCGCAGAGACAACAGGGTGTGTCGGACCATCGTGCAGCCGTTGCGTCTGCAACGCGTGGTTGCAGCTCCCCGCCAGAGCCCAGGACATCGAGAGATCATTTGTATTCGCACCACTGTGACCACAAATCATCATCTTGCTGCACCAGATCCGGACCTGTGCAACGGCGGTGCGGACGTTCACGTCCCTCTACATCCTGGGCTTCGTGTATCCCTCGTACGCTGGCGGCTCGTCGCCAGGCAGTCCACGGGCTCGGCCTATCCATCTAGTGCCCTTCGTCCTCTTCCTCTTCCGCGAGTTCACTGGGGTATGCTACTGGGTGAAGAAACCACCTCTGCCGCGGCAGCGTTGCGCACCTTCCTCGCGGTCCTCTTTACAAAGTGGTGATCATCCTTGTTTCTTTCAGTCAGGCTCGGCGGCCCTACAACGATAAGGACTGGCCGCGCCTGGGTCTGGCGACCCCACTGTGCTAGCAGCGTCGTGTGATATACAGTCGGGGCGTTGACCTAAGGAACCCTAAATAAGGAACGAGGCCCCTTTTTTTCCATAAGTTGAACTTGGATTTCCCATTGAAAACATAAGGAAAACCTGAGGCAAGCTGTGAAACAATTAAGGAACGCGAAGCCCCTCCCCAACGAAAAGGGTTCCTTCTTCAGGGCCCCGACTGTACCTCGTGCCTTCTGGTGCGCAGTCTTGCGCTCTCAAGTTGGCACTGGCGCTATGTTTCAGATGTTGTTACTATTGTTGTGGTTCTTCGGGGCGTGCCCCATCGCGGGCATTTCATCCAGCAGTGCTTCATCGGGGAGTGCGTCGTTCAGTGCCTCATTGCGTCGTGCTTCGCCGTGAGTGCTTCGTGGGGGTGCTTCGCTGTTGGGTACCTCACCCTCGCGGGCTGTTCGCAGAGCCCACAATTCTTCATCCTTGCGGGGGTGCTCGCAGTGCTCGTGGGGCTCTTCCTCGAGAGGCTCGGGCAAGTCTTCATATCGGTGCTCGGGCCAATGCTGGTCTTCGAGTGCTCCACTCACGGAGGTCTTCGTCGTGTGTTCACGGAGGTGTTCTCGGAGGTCTGCTTTATGGTGGTGCTCGAGGCGTGCTTCATCAACGAGGTGTGCTTCGCGGAGGTGCTCTTCGAGGAGGTGTACTTCAGTATCCAGGCATGCTTCGCGGAGGCGTGTTTCAATATCGAATTGTGCTTTTACGGAGGCGTGCTTCATAATGGAGGCGGGCTGCATCATGGAAGCGAACTTCCTCAGGGCGGCCTCCTACATCGAGGCGTGCTTCAAGGAGGTTTTTTTCACGAAAGTGTGCCGAAAGGAGGCGTACTTCATGGAAGCGTGCGTCGCCGAGGTGCGCGTGTGTGCGTGCGCCGCGGAAGCGCGCATCACTGGCGAGGCGTGCTTCACGGAGGCGTGCTTCGCGGGTAGCTGTGCGTCGTGGAGGCAGGTTTCATCACGAGGCGCGTTCCATCTGGAAAGCCCGCTTCACGGAGACCTTCTTCATCATGGAGATGTGCTTCACGGAGGCGGACTTCATAGGCGTGTCCCTCCTTTCCTGGGCGACTGGAGTCGATTTCGCCCTCAAGGATGTGGGGCCCATGATGGCGTCCTATTTCAGCAGCGGCAGCAGCATCAGCAGCCGTCTTTGCGGTCGGAGGCAGCGGTGACCGCGCTTCCAGCGGCGAAGCGGGCCCACATTGTCGCTTGCCTCAGGGAGGCGTGATTCATTAAGGAGGCGTGCTTCATCGGAGAGGCGTGCTCAACTGAGGCGCACTGCATATTGAGGTTTGCTTCTTCCTGCAGGCGCGCTTCATGGTGGTGCGCGCCACGGAGACGTTCTTCTTCATCATGGAGGCGTGCTTCATCACCGGGGCGTGCTTCACGGAGGCGTGTTTCGCTTAAATTATGCAGGTGTGGGTCGCGGGGGCGTGCTTCATCATCGAGTGTACTTTACGGAGGCGAGCTTCATCATGGAGGCGTGCTTCATCATGGAGGCGAACTTCCTCGGAGCGGCTTGCTTCCTCGAGGTGGTCTTCACGGAGGCGTTCTTCACGGATGCGTGCCGCAAGGAACGTGCTTAATGGCAGCGAACTTCACCGAAGTGTGTTCCACGGAGGTGTGCGTCATCGAGGAGACGTGTTTTAGGGAGGCGTGCTTCCAGGGTAGCTGTGCTTCGTGGAGGCGTGCTTCACGGAGGCAGGTTTCATCGGCGTGTCCCTCCTTTCTTGGGTGATGACGTATGCAAGGTCATCATCTCCATAGTTCCTAGGGCCCGGACTGCCTGGCTGGAGTCGCTCTCCAGTCAACGGTGGCCCTCACACCCGCGCGGCGGGGTGCATACACAACAGGGTGCGTCGGACCATCGGACAGCCATTGCGTCTGCAACGCGCGTCTGCAGCTCCCCGCCATAGCCCACGGCATCGGGTGATCATGTATATTAACGCCACTGCGACCACAAGTCATGATGATGATCATCATCATCATGATCATCATGATCATCATCATGATCATCATCATCATCATCATTATCATCATCATCATCATCATCAGCATCATCATGAGCATCATCAACAGCAGCATCAGTATCATCATCATCAGCAGCATCAGCCTCACAACCACCACCATCATCATTAGCATTATCATTATCATCACCATCATCACCACCACCAACTGCATCAACATCAGCATCAGCATCAGCATCATCATCACCATGATCGTCACCATTATCATAATAATCATCATCAGTGTCATCAGCATCATCACCATTATCATCACCACCGCCATCGTCCTCACCATCAGCATCATCATCATTATCAGCATCAGCATCATCATCAGCGTCATCAGCAGCATCGTTATTATCATGATCAGCATCAGCAGCATCATCATCAGCATCATCAGCATCGACAGCATTATCAGCATCATCAGAAGCAGCATCAGCATTATCACCATCAGCATCATCGCCACCAGCATCATCCTCATCCTCGTCATCATTATCATCAGTATCATCATCACCAACGCCATCGTCTTGATCATCAGCATCATCAGAAGCGGCATCATCAGCATCAGCATCGACATCAGCATCGGCATCATCATCATTATCATCGTCATCATCATCATCATCATCATCATCATCATCATCCTCATTATCATCATCGGCAGCATCATCAGTAGCATCAGCATCAGCATCAGCATCAGCATCAGCATCAGCACCATCATCATCATCATCAGCATCATTATCATCATCATCATCATCACCAATATCATCATCACCACCGCCATCGTCCTCATAATCCGCATCATAATAATCAGCATCAGCATCAACATCGACATCAGCATCAGCATAGGCATCATCATCATCATCACCGTCATCATCAACAACAGCAACAACAACAACAGTAACATCATCATCATCATCATCATCATCATCATCATCATCATCATCATCATCAGCATCAGCATCAGCATCATCATCATCATCATCATCATCATCATCATCATCATCATCATCATCATCATCATCATCATCATCATCCCCCTCCCCCTCCCCCTCCTCCTCCTCCCCCTCCTCCTCCTCCTCTTCCTCCTCCTCCTCCTTCTCGTCCTCCTCCTCCTCCTTCTCTTCCTCCTCCTCCTCCTCATCCTCCTCCTCCCCCTGCCTTTTCCTACTCCCCCTCCTCCTCCCCCCGCCTTCCTCCTCATCCTTTTCCTTATAAATAACTTCTCCCTGCCGCACCCGGAAGCAAGTTTTTAGGGCGGTCGGGGCGTTTCGCCTGAGATTTTCTCACCACTTATGACCCTGTAGCTCAAACATTGACGACACTTTCACAAATGGAGGGCGGGTGGTTTTCAACATCATGTAGCTCTCGCCTTAGCGCCGCGCACATTCGTTGTAACAATTTGCAAGAGCTTCACGGATTGAGGGCGGTTCCTTTACAAAATATGGCTCTCGCCTTAGCGCCGCGCACATTCGCTTTTAACATTTGCAAGAGTTTCACGGACTGAAGGCGGCTCCTTTTCAGAATGTGGGTGTCGCTTTGGCGCCGCGCACACTCGCTTTAAACATTTGCCAAAGTTTCACGGCTTCCCATGACCAGCGTACCAGAAATTGCGTTTTGGAAAGACTCCGGAGTATGAGGGCACAACATTCACGTTGATTCGCGGCGTTGAAGTCCCAAGAATGGCGATTTGGTGCGATTCAGGACTGTCAAGACGCAACAGTCAGGTTGATCCGTGGCGTTAGAATCCCGAGAACGATGTTTTGGCATGCGTCAGGGTCTTCAAACGATTGTGTTCCAACGAAGCAATTTCCTCAGTGGAAATGAACCCTTGTAGGGGCCTGTGAATTGGGAGCTTGGACGGAGGGTGTATTCCAACCTCGTTGATGACTCTTGGGCTTGCACTGGTCCTCTTCCTCCTCCTCTTCCTCCTCCTCCTCGCCCTTCGTGGGCAATGACATAAGCTGGCGCTGAAGGTCCCCCCCGAGCGGGCGCTTGACGGGCGCAGCAAGTTCCGGGTACGTGAGGAGGAGGAGGAGGACGAGGAGGAGGAGGAGGACGCATGAAGATACATCCGAGCGCATCAGGTCGCGTGTTCGAGCGGGGCCAAATTCCTTCTAACTCTCCTCCACCTCTGTGGCGCATGTGGGAACAGCAGCAGGCGCCGCGGCTGCAACACGCTCGTCCACGTCCATGCCGTGGGTTGCCGCTCGCACGAATTGGGACAGTCCGTCGCGCCCAGCGTGGGCGCGTTGGAATTTCCCTGTGTCGATATTGGCGAGATTCTCTCGACCTTTCCTCGTGATGTCGCGGAAGCCGCGGATCTTCAGTTGCCGTCTTGCCGCGTTCACGGCAGAAGTACAGGCAACCATTCTGCATAAAGTGTAGCTTATGTGAGGCGTGCAACTCGCGCCCGCAAATTGTCACGGCGCCCTGCGCTGATACCGCTTGCTCGCTGGCGGCTGGCAGGGGCGGTTGATAGTGGCAGGGTGTCGCACGCGCCTGCCGCATTTTACACTGGTCGGTCATGAGTCCGCAGCGCGTGCACGCGTACTTGCCTGCGCGGGGCTCGAAGGCATGCTGGCTGGACCGCGTGGCAAGTTGGAGCCTGGTGAGGCGCGGGCCCTTTGTCTGCGAGGGTCGCTCCGCGACCCAGGGGTCTACTGCGAGCGCGTGAGCAAGTGCCCTGCGCGCCCTCCTGCGGATGAGGGCGCGCAGGGTGTCGTGCAAGTCTGCGGGCGGCGCCTGTCCTACGATCGCTACCTCGCAGGACACTTGGGCTGCTACTCCTGCCCGCGCGTCTGCCGATGCATTGCCTACCGTGTGAAAAGTAGCGGACAGGGTCGGAGGCTACGCGGGGCGCATCCTCGCTGTGCGAGGGCACCTAGATCACCACGAGCGCGCTGCTGCCACGAGCACGCATTGCTGCAGCAATGCGCACCCGCAAGTCTTGGTTCGCGCCCTCGCTTGGGCGCAGGTGTCGGCCCAGCCGCCGCCCGCCGTCGAGGGGCATATGATCTGCGACGAAGCAGAGATCGCCAGGCCAGCTTTCGAGCGCGAGCGCAAACGCCAGAAGCTCTGCACGGGGCACAGTTTGAAAGGGGCCCTCCAGGCCCGACAGGATGCTTCCCCAGGGGGCCCACTCCCCGAAGAGGCCCCTCATTGCGACGCAGGCTGCCCCCGCTCTTCGGCGACGGGGGACGTCGCTGAACTGACCTCCCGACCCGTCGCCGAACAGAGTGAGGGTCCCATCGCTGCTTGCGCATTCCCCCCAGTCCCGCACAACCCAGCTCCGCCCGCCGCCCCTCCCAAAGTAGCAAAGACAGGGCGCGCGTCCGCGCGCCAGGCAGGCCGCGGAGCCAGCATGCAGGCGAGCCCTCGGCCCGGCAAGGGCTCAGAGAGCAGGAGGGCGTCAGATTCTGCGTAGTCCTCGTGGCCGCAGTTGCAGGGGCACAGCCAGATCCTGTGCACGAGCGTCTCGTCGGAAGCCCCGCGGCGCGGACAGGTCTCGCGCGCCTGGCGCCCCGCCTCCACGAGGCGCCCCCTGGGCCACGGCCACGGCCACGGCCACGGCCACGGCCACGGCCACGGCCGCTGCGCCCCCGCGACCGCGCACAGGTTCAGGGCCCACTGGTCGTGCTGGCCCTTTTTGGTGAACTTCCCCATCTCGCGTGCAAAGACGTGGACGTCTGGGCCTCCGCGTCGCAATCCTTCGCCGCGTAGATGTTTGGCCGCATCCTTCCACAGGCCTTTCTCGATCGGCTGGCAGAACTCGTGGACGAACTCAGCAGGGTCCACGTCGCGTCGCTTCTACTCCCAAGTCTGGTTGACCTCTGCGTGGAACTTCGGTCTCTTGAACTTCGGTCTCTCCTTCCCATGATGGGCGAGACCACTCGCGCGGCGTAGGGCGCGTCCATCCCGCGCCTGTGAGAATGGCCGATATGGCTGAGGTGGGCCCGAGCACCTTTCTCCACTTCTTGTTGCCACGTCTGATCGTATTGTCGTAGAGGAGCTCCCACGCCTGCGTGACCCGCAGGTGGTGGTCTGGGTTGTTGAACCAGAAGTTGAGTCACTCCGCGATCGAATGGCACCTGAGCTCGATGGCGGGGTCCTTCTGTCCCAGTGCTGCGGCCAATGCGGAGGATAGACAGCGCCCTGGCCTCTTCCCAGCTGTGGCCTGGATGGCCTGGCGCCTCTGCCCCAGGATGGCCGCCAGGGAGAGACCCATGATCTGGTGGCCGTAGGTGCCCTGGGGGCCCCGTGCCCGTGGTCCACAGGCCCTTCGCAATCTTGGCAAGGGAGGCGTGCTTCCTGACCTTCGTGATGATGCGGCCTGTCCGTCGCTTGGCCGTCTTGGCCCTCTTGGCGGCCCCGGCAGTGACCTTCCGCTCGGCGCCGCCCACGTCGATGCCGAGGTAGAAGGAAGCGTTCGCCACCTTGATGGAGTAGCCTTTCTTCTCGAGGCCGACGTGGGCCGCGAGGGCGATCGTCTAGCTGGAGGTGACGACGGTCGTCTTGGGGGAGACGCGCAGGCCTGCTTCCGTCACGCCAGTGCAGAGGTCCGTCGCCGCCCCGATCAAACCCCCGATGACCTGCTTCCTCTGCCCCTCCGTCCTGGCCACCGCGTCGTCTACAATGGTCCACAGGCCTGCGTAGGTTCAGTTGAGGTGAGCCCTCTGGGGGGTGGGTTCGCCAGATTCTCGCCGTTGCAGCTGCCCGCCACGATGGGCCGCTACGCGTCGATGAAGTCGCTGACCCAGCCGCGCATGCGCAAGTGCCTGGGGGCCAGGTAGAGCTGCGCCTCCAGCGCCGCGACGAGCGGGGGAACTTCACCCCGATGGCGGCCTCGAAGGGGAGCGCGAAGCAGACCGGGTCGTAGAACTCCTTGACGTCCATGAGGAGCGCGGCGAACGCGACGCCGAACGTCGCGGCCGTCTCGTCGAGCAGGGCCCTGACGAGCGCCGCCCTGAGAGCGCTGGGCTCCATGATGGCGGCGCCCCAGAACTCCGCCAGCTCCCTGGGCCACTCGCCCGTGATGCTGGAGCGGATCTTGGCCCAGGCCTTGGGGGCCGTGGGCAGCGCGCCCGGGGTCCTCTCGCCGCCCGCAGGTTTGGGAGCTATGGCTCCGACAGTGGCGGAGACCTGCTGCGGCCACATGCCGCTCTCCTCCACCGCGGTGTAGATGTTGGCGAGCTCCTGGATGCCCTGGCGGGGGAGTCTCTGGATGTCAATGGGGCCGATGCTGTCGACCCCTCTCGACTGCTATGGGTTCGCGCTGCCGACGACGGCCTGGATGTGCTGCGGCTCGATGACGGGGAGAATGTCCACCTTCGCGAGCTACATTGCCTTCTCGTACGCGTAGATGATCTTCTCCTCGCTGTAGTGCTCGTACTTCTAGATGTCGCGCCGCGTGTCCGCGGCTGTGGTCATGGCCAGGTAGGGCCCCCCACGGTGGTTCGATCCGTCTTGTCCTCCAGCGCTGCGCCTTGTGGTCGGCGACGGTCCGATGCAACTTGCCAGGGGACTGTTTCCAAGCTAGCTTCGCCCAGTCGAGGTATCGCCTCCGCGCCGCGCCCGCTGCCCTGCCCATGGCCTTGTGCGCCCGCGTATGGGTGGCGACGCCGAGGTGGTGCAGGTCGTCCTCGTCGCAGAACTCGAAGGTGACGATCTGGGTCTTCCACTCGTCGATCTCCTGCGGATCCATGTTGCTGCTGATATGGTCCTTCAGGGAATCTGGATTGTCCGCGTCATCCAATCTCTTGAGGGTGATCCTGTGGATCTGCTCTCGAGCCTCGGGGTCTTTCGCATTCTTGACCAGGGAGGTGCACCGTAGGATTGAGGGTGCTGAAGTGCTGCCACCACGTTGCCTCAGGATCCTTCAAGCACGCTCGTCCAGGTGATGCCTTCATCAGCTGCTTCGTGGTCCGGCACCCCTCGGCTCTGCCCTGGTACGCGGCCCTCCCCTCAGCGGGGACATCGTGCGTCTCCAGGAAGGTGATCTCCAGGGTGGCGATCCGCGGGGCGCAGGTAGAGTTGATCTCAGCGGCGACGCTCGGCGTGCGCAGGTGGAAGACGTGCCCCCTGCCCTCCTCGGCGCCGACGCGGCTGCCCTCGAACTCCGGGTGCTCGCTCGCGATCTCGGCGGCCTTGTCCCAGGAGCCCTTTGGGATGATGAAGGGCGCGGGGCCCTCCTTGCTCGCGTCGGCGCGGTTGCTGTGGAGGGTGCGAACTCGTCGCGCAGGTGCTCTGGCAACTTTCCCCTCCTGGTTCTCAACGCCTCCGCGCGAGCCCCGGACCTTTCTACCGTTTAGGTCACCGACCTTTTTGGGTCTGGCTCGCGCGGGGAGGGCCCTGGGAACCTCGATAGCTGCTCGCGCCCGCGGCTCGGCGCTGACCACCGTGATCTGGATGCCGCAGTGGGCCTTCCAGGGGACGTCGTGGACTGCCTGGGTGTCCAAGTGCGAGGCGACGTTTGAACGTGCGATCGCGTAATCGCACGCAAAGCCCTTGCCCATGTCGCGCGCCGCCTTGCACTCGGGGCCGGCGAGGGTGGCACCATTCCACTTGGTATGTCTTCGTTGGCGCCTTGATCGCGAAGCCCAAGGCGCAGGCGCGCCGACGCCACCGCGATGTTGCCGCTCATGGCGTGGAGGGTCGTCGACGTGAAGCCCGCGAACGGCTGCCTCTTGTGGCGCATGACGTAGTGCTCCCTGTAGCCCTCGGAGGTGGTTGCCGCGATGTCACTCCTGGTGAGGGCCCGCTCGCCGCCGCGCGTGCCCTTGTCGGACTTGTTGGTCGGGGTGGCCGGCGTAGCGGCGAGCTTCCAGCCGTCCGCGGCGAGCTTCCCGATCTGGTCCTGGACGCCCTTCGCGTCTACGTGGGACTCCGCCAGCGCTACGAGGTAGTACTTGTGCCCGAGGGTGCG